CACGGCGGCAGAAGTTGTTCAACCTTTCTCACTCGATTGCCCCGTATGCAGCTTCACGGCTCAAGATCTCCGACAACTTCAGTTACACATACGCACACACTGTGCCCTGGGTGCTCCTACTCTCCCTCGGCCTCGGCTTCGACCGCGGCATGTCGCAACCAGACGCGGCGTCCATGGACCTGGAGCTGCTGATCAAGAAGCACAAGCGCAAGCCAGGCGACGGCGAGGACCTCGGAGGAGCACCCTCGGGAAAAAAGGCCAACCTCGGGGACGCAGCAGACGAGGCAGAAGACGGTCTTCAGCAGGTCGAGGGGGCCCTTCGGGCTCGAGACATGCAGCAGGCCATATCGATATTGCTCAAGATGGCGTGCATGCACGCGCAGCTGCTGAGGGACTTGGCGGCGTCGGAGTGGGTGTGCCTCGTCATCCCGACGCTGAGCTTCCTGGTGGTCGCAGGGCGAGGCGCAGGCAAAATGTACGCGGAGGCGGCAGCCATCGCGGCAGCGAAGCCCCATCTGGGGCCACCACATTTGTACATAGCGCGCGGCGTGTTCAAGTCGATGGTCGAATCAGAGAAGCTACAGAAGTCGGGGACTCAGGCGTACCAAACCCTGGTCCTTTTTTACGAGAAGTTCGTGTCGATCAGCTCGGCTGCGGAGCTAGGATTAGTGATCAGGCACTTCCGTCTGAAGAAGTGCTACAACGAGGAGTACACCCGACTGCAGTTCGCGATCGGCGGGGACGTCACGGTGCAGCTGGCGGACGCTCAAGAGGGGTCGCCCGAGCGTCATCTGAGCAAGCTGGAGGTGGAGCAGTCGATCATCAAGCTAGCTCAGCTGGAGGACGCGAAGCTCAAGCTCGGGACCGCCCCTCAGGGGCACTTGGAGACCATGGCGCAGCGCATCCTCGACAAGACGAAGCAAAAGGGCAAGGGCAAGGGCGCGAAGTAAGTCAGCCAGATTCGGGCCCCGCTCCGTGGGAGGCTCGTCGGGCTGCCATCTTTGCACGCATCAGAGCACGGGAACTCTCGCAAAATGACACTACATGACGGACTTTGGACAGCACCTCCATATTCTGAGTTCACGAACTATCTTTCCGAAGGAGCGTTGTGTACCGGAGGATTTGAGGTTTTTTGGACTCCCGCCGACTCGTGCTTCAAGTCTATGAGACGGAACCCCTCGTCTTACTTGACGGCTCACAGTTGGCTCAGATGGACACCCACTCTTCTACAGATACATGACATTACATACGCTGACGTGCTGTTCCATACGTCCTCCTCGAATCCACGTACCTGATGCTGACGACCTAGACGGCTGGGTCAATTAATATTCAGACGGTCGCGATGCCTCGCGATTCCGCTCGTCGCCACGCCTCTTTGCTGCACTGTAGGTTTCCTCTCTTCTGAGCGCACCGCTCGACTCTGGCGTCAGCGCGCTCTTTTTCTTTCTTTGATGATGTTATGTGGTGTATTCGCGGCTTTGTCCTTACGGGATCGGGCCCGACACCACCTGTCGAACTTCACGCGGGTCTCCGCCAAGTTCGTCCCCACGGCTTTGTGTGCACGCCAGCGCTGGCCACCACCGAGTACCTGCCTGCCACGTGACCTCGATGTCCGAGGCCCCGCCCCTCTTGGCTGCGCCGAGCCGCCTTTTCTCCCCACCTCTTCCTCGGAGTGGCTATCTTCCAGAATTCGGGGACCCACACTCCCCTCCGCTGCTTCCTCTGCTCTTCTCCTGCTTTGGCCTCGCCCTCTCGCCTCGTCGTCCTCTCTTCCGCGTCGTTCCCCTTTCGTCCGTCGCTTTGCTGGAGTGTGGGTCCCTCCTCGGGGCGGGGCGGGTGCCTCGGAGGCCTGCCCGTCGCCCGCAGCGACGTGGGCTCGGCACTGGGAGGCCAGTGGGGTGTCCCCCCCAGCCCTCGAGGGGTCTCACGATTTGCGACTGCCTGGGTACGAGCTCGTACGACAGGCTGCACGGCGCGCGCTACTCACGACCTCATCGCACTCGCTCGATGATCGTTCGAGGTAGGGCTCTGATTGCACGGGTTCACGCGCGGTCAGGGATCGGCACAGACCACGCGCAAGGCCGAGTCTTCTTCTTCTTCTTCCTCCTCCTCCTCCTCCTCCTCCCCCTCCTCTTTCTCCTCCTCCTCCTCCTCCTTCTTCTCCTCCTCCTCCTCCTCCGCCCTCCTTGGCCTCGTCCTCGGTCCTCCTCCTCCTCCTCCTCCTCCTCCTCCTCCTCCTCCTCCTCCTCCTCCTCCTCCTCTATCTCCTCCTCATCTTCGTCCTCTTCCTCTTCCTCCTCCCCCTCCTCCTCCTCCTCCTCCTCCTCCTCCTCCTCCTCCTCCTCCTCTCGATTCCTTCTCCTCCTCCTCCTCCTCCTCCTCCTCCTCCTCCTCCTCCTCCTCCTCTGCCTTCTCCACCTCCCCCTCCCCCTCCTCCTCCTCCACCTCCTCCTCCTCCTCCTCCTCCTCCTCCTCCTCCTCCTCCTCCTCCTCCTCCTCCTCCTTCTCGTCCTCCTCCCCCTCCTCCTGGGGCCCGTTTGGGAGCCTCTTGGGGTCCTCTTGGGGCCGTCTGGGGGCTCTCTTGGGCCGTCTTGGGGCCCTCTTGGGCTGTCCGGGGGCTCTCTAGGACCGTTTTCAGCCTCTGGGGGGCCGTCTTGGGACGATCTTTGGGGCCTCTTGGGCCGTCTTGGGCCCGTCTGGGGGCCCTCTTGGACGGTTTTGGGCCCCTTTGGGGTGCCTCTGGGGCCGTCTTGGGACGATCTTTGGGGCCTCTTGGGCCTTCTGGGGCCCTTTTCGGACTGAAAAGGGGAGAACCCGACAAACCTGCAAAAACAATTGGAAAATCAATGTGTTTGGCCGGCGACGGCGACGGACACAGCGGCAGCGACGGTCGGCGGCGAGCGAGGGGGGGAAGTGAGAAGAGGTTGGCCTTCTCAGAAAACTCGGATGTCCCCTGGTCCAGCAGTTCTCCAAGCCTCCCCCGAAGACACAGAGAACCTCTCAGATGGCCGAAAGCCTTCTGAGAAGCCCAGCCGCCTTCCGAGAAGGCCTTCTCCTCCTTACTTCCCCCCCCTCGCTCGCCGTCGAGACGGCGACGGCGACGTCGGCGTCGGCGGCGATGGCGGCGGCGATGGGGACGACGGGGACGATGAGGACGACGGCGACGGCTGACGCCCCTTGAGGGTATGCGGAGTTCTGCAGGTCCCCGCGGGTGCCTCCGGCCCCCAGAGGCACGACACGAGGCTCACAGACGTCAGGACACCTCGCGCCTCGATACTCGACAACTACGGGGACGAGGCGGCGATGAGACCACGGCGACAGCAACGGATCTAGTGCGCCGACGGCGACGGCGAACGGCGAAAATGGCCACGGCCACGGCGACGACGACACAGTCCCGCTTCCGCTCCAGATACCTTGTTTTGAAGCGCACAGCGTGGCGTCGCCTCCCGCGGGCAGCATGAAGCAACGCCCCATGCAACTGCGCTCTGGAGCGAGGCACCTGACCCGCTGTCCCCTGCCCTCCGCCTCCGAACCCTGATGCGAGGCGGAGATTTCTCCATAACCATCGCCGCCTTGGGGATCCTTCTTCGGGGACGTCGGCAAGTACAGTCGGACCTAGGACAGAAGAGCATCCTCCATGAGCGTGAGATCCTCCGCCGGCCAAAACACACAGAAAATCCAAGGGTACCCTCCCCAGGGTGCACCAGAACATTTAACACACGCGAAGAACTTTCGGGCACCCTCCCCGAACCGACCTCGATATTATACCTCCGTCCGGCTGTAGTAGATATGAACATGTGTGGCACCACGCGGGCCCGCATACACACATATGCATAACTATTGAGGTGTGTATATGTCAACATACATACATACTTGCATACATACATACATGCATACATACATACATGCATGCATACGTACATACATACCTACACACGTACATACATACATACAGCCACACCTATAAACATACATGAATACGTACATACTTACATGCATGCATGCATAGACACATACATATATACATAATCACATACCTGCATGCATGCATGCATGCATGCATACATACATCCAAACGCACATATATACATGTATACCTACATGCATACTTACCTACATGCATACATACATACATACGTACATGCATACACACATGCATACATACCTACATACATACATACATACATACATGCATGCATACATGCATATATACACACATACATACACACCTACATACATACATCCACGCATGCATACATACATGCGTACACACATACACACGCATGCATACTTACTTACTTACTTACGTACTTACTTACTTACTTACCTACTTACATACATACATACATACTTACATATATACATACATATATCCATACTTACATGCATGTATGCATGCATGCATGCATACATACATGCATGCATGCATACATACATTCAGACATACGCGCATACATGCATCCATCCATCCATACATACACGCATACATACGTACAACCATACTTATCTACATGCATACAAACATACACACACACGTACACACATACATGCATACATGCATCCATGCCTCCATACATCCATACATACACATACATACACACGCACACACATACACACATACACACATACATACATACATACATACATACATACATACATACATACATACATACACACACAAGCATACATACATTTACATATAATTATACACAAACAAACGAACATACATACATACATACATACATACATACTTACATACATATGTACTTACATACATACATGCATGCATGCATACATACATACGTGCCATACCGCCTGCCCAGGTCCCCGAGGGTCGATCCCCCAAGAGGCGGTGACAATGGCTACACCCCCGCCGACGACCTCCTGTTCAGGACGCCCGAGACTGGTACGGAACACATATACGTACGATGCCCAACCACAGTGGGTACGGAACGTATGGGCACGATGCCGAAAACGGATGCGATCGTGCCGATTCTCTCCTCCTCCTCCGTCTACCGCCGCCCCGCCCTCCTCACTGCTCAGTCACAAGAACGCAGCCGCCGCAGCGCGGCGCCCGGCACCGGCGCTGCCGCTGGTCCGCGCACGCCGCCGCGCCTGCCGAGGCCCGACGGGCGCCGGCGCCAGGCACAGGGCGGCGGGTGCCGCCGCGGCGGTCACCTTCTCGTGCTCCTCGGCGAAGGCCTTCAGGCTGGCCGCAGTGCGGTCCCCGCTGTACTCCGCCACCTCCTCGTCGCCGTTGAACAGCTTGATCGTCGGGTAGCCTCCGATGCCCTTGCAGAGCTTCTGGTTGGCGCCCACGGGCGCCCAATTCTCATCCGCGCACTCGACCTGCCGGAACTTCACCGGGCCCGAGTACTCCGCCGCCGCCTGCCGCCACGCCGGCTCCAGGTGCTTGCAGTGCGGGCAGGCCGCCGCGTAGTAGTCCCGGAGCTCCAGGCCCGCGAAAGAGGAGAGCGGCGGCCTGCCGGACAGCACCATCGGCCGCAGCGGGGGGGGGGCGCGGGCACGCGCGCCGCACGGCTGGGGTCACAATGGCTCTGCGGGGCTTCCGCTCCGGCTCCTGGCTCCCGGAGGTGCTCCGAGGTTCCCTGGCGAAGGCCCCCGGAGGTCCCATGCGGGAGGCCTCGGGAGGCCTCCGCGAGCTCAGAGCGAGCCAGAGGCGTCCAAAAGGATGGCGGGAAATGTTCAGAAGCCCAGAGATCCGACGTCGTGTTTTTTTCAATGCCGGGTCCCCGGAAGTCTCGACCTATGCCCCAGGACCGGTTTTTCATCCTCAGTCGTTTTTTGACGATCCCGAGGCCCGGCGAGGGGGCGAGGGCCTCTAGAGGCCGAAAATAGCGGAACAACGCCGTCGTGTTTTTTCAATGCGTTGGATCTCTGAGAGCCTCCCTCCGCGACCAGTCGAACGCCGCCGCCGATGAACGGGCACACTGGCAGCACACCCTCACACTGCCTGCAGGGGGTGCTGACCCGCGCCTCGACGATGCGAGGGCGTGCTAGCTATGATTAGGTCGCGCATGTCCTCTGAGCATAATCAGAAAATGATCGGCAATAGCGAAAATTGTTGAAACATCGTCCCCAAACTATGCTTTGAACATTCTTTAAGATTCCTCCTGTAGCGGGACATGCCCGACTTCAGAGTATGGGCGCGGGCTGGCGGACCCCGAGAGGGGGCTCCCACTCGAGCGGGGACGTCCCGTCCGACAACACACGCTCACGGCCCCCGCCAGGATTTCCACCCCGAGGAAGCTGGGGGTGGCAGACTGTTGAGCTTGAGTCGAGAGGGCACGCTAGAGGACACCAGACCCTTCCGAGGACCACCGGCCCCAGGAATGCAGACAGCACGCGACGCGAGACTCAGGACACAAGGGCACCCTTGATTCGGAAGGGTCGACCTCTGTGCTGTCAACTAGAGGCCTCCTAGATGGGGTCCGAGCAGATGGGGTCGGAGGATCGCGCCGCATCGGCGACGCATCGGCGGTGCATCGGCGACGCCAACGCGGAGCAAATTTGGCTCCACATCGAGCCGCGTCGGCGATGCATCGCTGATGGGGCGCGATCCTCCGACCCAATCTGCTCGGACCCCGCATCCAGGAGGCCTAGACAGACTCAACCACAGGTATTCGGGATCTGAAAGCCAGGGGAACTCCGATCGTGGAGTGGCCGTGGATATCACCGCTGCCCTCATCAGAGAAGGAATCCCCAAGGGTCTGAGGCATCCTTGCCGCATTCCTCAACCAACGCCCCCACCGTACGTACTTAGATGGCGAAACAGCGGAACACATATAAACTTGGGGAAGTCCGCTCGGAACTCTTGGACTCGCGCTGGACCCCCTCCCTGGCGCGCGGAGCGCGCTAGTCGGGCGCGGCCTAACCGACCCTTAGCAGACCATCCCCCTCCGTGACGCCATCCTCGCCCTTCGGGCTCCCCTCCGGCCGCACACATACGTCTTGGGGCGAGGCGCGGGGACGTCACGGCATGGGATGGTCTGCTTAGGGTCGGTCAGGCCGCCCCTGAGCTAGGGGCGGCGCCAGAGGCGCCGCCAGGGGGGCCCCAGCGCCGACCCAGGAAATCCGCGCGGAGCTTGAAAAGCTGACTCGTTGATTTGATCAGATTTTCCCGTGCCTGTCTTGGGAGGTTGGCCTTCTGCCCACTCCTTTCCCGCTCTCTGCTCTGCAGCAAGTGGTGGGACTCAAGGAGCTTGCGTCCTCCTCCTCCTCCTCCTCCTCCTCATCCTCCACCTGCCCCTCCCTCTCCTCATCCTCCTCCTCCTCCTTCTACTCCTACTCCTCCTCCTCATCCTGCTCCTTAACACTCCTCCTCCTCCTCCTCCTCCTTCTCCTCCTCCTCCTCCTCCTCTTCCTTTCCTCCTCCTCCCCTCCTCTCCTCCTCCTCCTCCTCCTCCTCCTCATCCTGCTCCTCAACACTCCTCCTCCTTCTCCTCCTCCTCCTCCTCCTCCTCCTCCTCCTCCTCTTCCTCTTCCTTTCCCTCCTCCCCCTCCTCCTCCTCCTCCTCCTCCTCCTCCTCCTCCTCCTCCTTCCTCCTCCTCCTCCTCCTCCTCCTCCTCCTCCTCCTCCTCCTCCTATTCCTCCTCCTCCTCCTCCTCCTCCTCCTCCTTCTCCTCCTATTCCGCCTCCGGATAGGTAGCGGGGCACCCCTCTGCCGCACGGGCGGCCCGCCAGGTCTTCCAGGCCTGACGCCCCCCGTGCTTCACAGTCGCGATGCGCGCCGCCGAGGTCTGGCCCGCGGGGCGGTCCCTCCGCTATGCACGAGTCGTGCGTTTGTCCCTTCTCTTAGGTTCCTTCCCGCGCCCACGTCCCCGTGTCTGCTGGAACGTGCCCCTCCGCTTCGCAGTCGGAATGCGGAGTGTCCGTTGGATCCCATGCCTCTCAGCTGTGGGGCTGCCCGTTGTGCCCCACCCCCCCTCTCGCGTGGCGCCCTCTCTCTTTGGCCAAGTCTCACCGCGCGGGGCTCCACAGCAGCGTCGCTTGCTTCACGGTCCCCTGCCCGCCAGGCTGTCCTCCTTGGCGTCCGCCGGGGTCCACTCGTCGCCTCCAGGGCCGCCTTGTCGCTTCACCTGCCTTTGCGGCCAGGGGGGGCGCGGCTGCCTGGTAGGCAGGGGGGGCGGGCGCCGGCAGGCCTGCGGAGCTGGTCTGGCGGGCCAGCGGCGCGGCCCGCAACTCCGCCTGGAAGCGCGAAGCGCTGGAAGAGGTGCAGGAAGCATCTGCGCCGTCTCTCCTGATTTGACAGGGGATGCGTCGACCCCTATCCCAGGCGTTGGGAGGTGTTCGAGTGGACCAGGAATTCGGGGCCCAACTCTGGGATAGACGACAGGGGGCGTCCATCGTCGATAGGGGTGCGTCCTCCGTCGAGAAGTCGGGGGTCGGGAGGGAAACATCGCCTGCGATGCTTGATTGTGTCCTCCCATCGTCGGTTCGACCTGCAAGCCCTCGGCGGCTTCCCCCTTCCCTCCATGTTCGCTTTTCTGCCCCCCCTCCCCCTTCGCAGGACGCGCCGCGTTCCCTGACCAGTCCGTGCTACCTCCGGCTCATGCGTCACATTCCGTCATGCGGCCCTGGGCGGGCCCCCCGGTCTCTGCGGATCTGCTTCGCAGGCGTAATGCGGTCGGTCGCGTCGAGCCCAGAGGGTGCTCTCCGGCAGCCGTGCTCCGCTCCTGCCCCGCTCTGGGTATACCTCGCTGCCCGGCGCCGGCGAGCCCAGAGAGGGAAGCCTTCTGCCTGTGGTCGGGTGGCGGGCTTCCTCCCGCTGCCGCGGCGGCGGCCCGCCGGGTCTCCAGCTTGAAGGGGCCCTAGGACACGCAACTAAATACACACAAATAAACATGGTCCCCATATTTTCCCATGTTTTCTGGGTTTCTGTCTTCCCCCTCACTTCCCATATTTTCCCATATTTTCTGGGGAATCGAGGATTCATTGTGTCTGTGTGCTTCTTTTCCTCCTGACAGCTCCCCGCGTCTCGCAGTCGCGAGGCGCGCCGCTGTGGCCGCGCCACTGCGGGGATGTCCGTCTGCCTTTTTCGCTCGGCTCAGCGCCTCTCGGCCTGGGGGCGGCCTCTTGCGCCTCCCCCCCCCCTGAGGAGGAGGAGGAGGAGGAGGAGGAGGAGGAGCCTCTTGCGCCTCCCCCCCCCCTGAGGAGGAGGAGGAGGAGGAGGAGGAGGAGGAGGAGGAGGAGGAGGAGGAGGAGGCCCTCTCGTGCCCCCCCCTCCTGCGGCGGGGCCCCGCCCCGAGGGCGCCCGCGGCGTCCTCGCCCGTGCCTCCGCCTGGCTGCCACGTGCTGCCCTCGGGGCCCGCACCTCCTGCGAGAGCCCCCTCTGCGAAGGGGAGTGCGCCGCCCTCCTCGGCCCACGGCGAGGCTCCGCTTGTCGCCCCCCCGGGGTCGCCACACGTCGCCTCGCTCGGCCTGATGGCCGGGGAGGCGGGGCGAACGGCCGGTGGGGGGCTGGGCGCCGGCAGGCTTCCGGAGGGAGGCAGTCCTCCGCGTGAGGGCTGCGGCCCTGGACGACTCCGGCGAGCAGCGTCGCCCGACTCCGCAGGACAGGCGGCTGCTCGCGGGCCCGGCCTCCTCCTGCTCGCTCTCTGGAACCAGCAGGGGGGGGAAGGGGTGTGTGTGGCACCACCGTTCAGTCGGGCGTGTCCCCCGACAGGGGGATTTTCGACGAAAAATAAGCAATACCCCAAAAATACCCCAAAAAGGTAAAAACAAAAAAAAAAAAAAAACTCTAAAAATAGTCCCCAGACTATTTTTGGACTATTTTTGGACTATGTTTTATTTTTCGTCGAACATCCCCCCGTAGGGGGACAGGCCCGACTTAAAACCACCGCCTGTTGTCCTCGGGAGCGGCCAAGAGGGGGGTGTCCAAGAGGGGGGGGTGCAAATCATGACTGGCGGCATGTGCGCGGCCCAGCGGGGGGGCCAGGGACGTAATGACATAAGAGGAGGCGCCATGAGATCTGGGGAACTATCATGGCCCCCGCCATGATATCCACCCCCCCCTAGTCATCACCCCCCTCTTTTCCGCCCCCGATGTCCCTCGTCGGCTGCAAGACTCCGACCTGCTCGCGCCGGGCAACTCCGAGCCGCACTGTCGCCGCGGAGCGGGCGGAACGGGGCCGCCGGCGCGCGCGCCGTGGAGGCTGTTGCGAGGTGCGAGGTGCGAGGTGCGGAACGCAAGCAGGCCTCCAAGAGGCTCGCGGAGCGAAAGCTCCACGACGGTTTCATGGTTGACTCGTCGTTTGTCGTCGTCGCCTTCATCGTCGTCTCCTTCCTCCCCCATTCGTCTGCTGGTGCATTCTCTTCTTCCTTCCTCCATCCTCCCGTTCTCCTTGCCTCCTTCCTCCTCCCGCTGCCAAAGATAGCCTCCCTGGCCCGAGAGGGTGTCAAGATAACCTCCAAGAGGGACCGCAGAAGACCCCAATGAAGCCAACGCGCCATGGGAACATCCGTTGCATAATTCAACACATGTTCCCGCCGTTTCAGCACCCGCGAAACACTTTCTCCCCTGACCAAGGCAACTCTCCTGGCGATCTGTTTCTGGATGGGCTGGTGGGGAGATACTTTTTGGTACGCGGGCGCGCGAGGCAAGTCGAACGCCGAGCACGTTAGGGCGCTGGTGGGGAGATACGCGGAGCGGCAATCATTTCTGTTAGTGTTCCAGCCCGCCCACCCTGGGCGGCCTGTCGGCCAGGCTTATCATACGGCTGGCGCT